CAACCAACTTCCCCTTAAAGTCTGAGAACCAGGGACCAGAGGGTAGACAGGCAGTTATTACAGCCTTCTTCCACTCGAGGGGGGGTTTCTGGGCGCTAGTGCTAGCGCCTAATGTCAGGACTTTGAACGCCAGTTTGGCGTGATCAAAATTCAACAATTCTACCGAAGGTGCTCCACTTACAAAGCAAAAACCGCAAAGCGAGTTGAACATAAAAGTTACATTTCGCTCATGTTTAAAACGAGCAAATTTCAAACAAGAAAAATGGCGTTTAAGTGCTTTGGCCTACGCTTTTGCATTTAAAAATGTCTTTCAAAATGTAGAAAAAATTAATCAATTTTGCATGACTTGATTTTCAATTTCGCATCTTATCATTATACTCTGTGTTCAAGTGCTATTAGCAGATTTATTGTTTAAGTCGTCTGCTGTTTTCACTTTGTGTTCATGCTTTTCTGAGCGGTCTGGTGGTACTTCTTTTACTTCTACCATTTCCTTGCAAAACAGCTGAGGCGCCTATTCAATGGAAGCAGCTCGTCTGGAAAGACTTCAGGCTCTAAAATCAGTTTCGGAGCAGGCTCGTATCGGTGGCAAGGGCACCGCTCGGAGGAAGAGAAAGGTTGTACATAAAACTGCAGCGACCGATGACAAGAAGCTACAGGCGACTCTTAAGAAACTGGGAATTAATGCCATCCCATCAATTGAGGAGGTTAACATGTACCGAGCCGACGGTACGATGATCCACTTCAAGAACCCGAGAGTTCAGGCATCTCCACAGGCCAACATGTTTGCTGTTTCGGGTCTTGCTGAGAACAAAAGTATGGCACAATAGCTAGATTCATTTGTTTTAGCGCTCAACGATTTGTTCCCCAATATGATGAGCCAGCTAGAGACGGCAAAACAACGTCTTTCTAAGATGAGTGGTGAGTTCTTTGACGCTCTTTACTAATTGGTCTGCAGAAGCAGCTCAAGGTGAAGCTAAAGAAAATGCGGAAGACGATGACGATGATGATGTCCCGGAACTTGTCGGGGATTTTGAGGAAAAAAGTCGCCAAGAGTGAAGAACTATACAAGCGATGCATTGGCGTCGGTTTGATATTTATGGATACGAATAAAGTATTGTCTTTTATTCATTCTTTCATTTGCCTTTCATTTATGTTCATGTTTCTTTCTCTTATCTGGGTCTCGGTACCCTTCGTCATTTGTTTTGTAGCGTATATCTTGCCACTTGAGGTGTTGCTTTTTGCGCTTTCAGCTTCGTTTTCCGTCTCCCTTGATGGTTTTGATACTTTAATTGGTATTATCATTATCTGTGGCTGGTTTTGTTGCATTTGGTAGAGCAATTAAGTCAATTGCAATTTCCCTTCTCAGACATTCCTGTTCCTCATTTTAAACTGCATCTTAGGGAATTTTTCGTCGAAATAATGGCCTATCGGATATTTGCTCTGTCACCCTACTGTGACTGGTCCGTTCGTTGCTGTCGCAAGGCTTATCGATCCTTATCCTACATTAGTCTTGCACTATTTGGTTATGAAGAATGCCTATGCCACACTATGACCTCGCCGGCGTGAATTCTCACTGGCATTTGGCGTTTCTTGCAGTTCGTCGTCTGTCCTGTTAGTTTGGTCGGATTTGACGCATCACGTGTGCGCGTCTTGTGAACCCTTCATCTCGGGTGCCCCTTTTAGCGTTCCATCTGTGGCACTTTGTCCTTTCCAGAGGTTGCATATTGTTCCTTGTCGTTGTGCTTAGGTTGGATAATTTTGTGAACGTATTTAGTAGGAGTTAGATGTTGCTTCATTTTCTTGGCTATTGCGGTTCTTTTTTCACAGTTGAGAGGTGTTCTAACGCTGCGAGGATATACGTTTTTTGACCAATTTGAAAAGAATATTTTAGTCCTTATTCTAGTCTGGGCGTTCCAGACCAGCTTGAACAGTGCAGTTGGCGAGGTGAAGCTCTTTGACTTTTCTGCCGGTAATGCAGGTAAGGTAGAGAAAACAAAAAGGGGCACCAGTACTTTTTTGCCTTTAGCATCTGTCAACTTTCCATAATCCATTTACCCATCAAAGTTTTTGATGGTGGCAAGAAGGCTTCTTCGGCTAAAGCCTCTGGGATCAGTACTGTACATTTATTAGCTTGTCCTCCTCAACTGGAAGTACTTATTTAGCCCTGTAATAATCTTCAAGGCGGCTGATTTGCGTTGCTGTCGAGTTACTGCCATTATTAAGTTACAGTGATGGTTTATCGTCTGAACTTGGATTAATGTCTCTTTTGAGGCGTTGAGTTGCATCTATACTTTCTTCCTCGAAATTGGTACTCAGGGCTGTGATGAGGCACTTCCAAATTCTTCGTCTCCTTGCAGGCATCCATAATCGCAAACCAGTAAAATGGAACAATCGGCTTTGAAAACTGTTAGTGGCCGGATCAGATCTGTGCTTGAGCTCTCTAGCTTCATTCTATCTTTTCCCTTGCTTAAAATTCTTTATTAGCCTGCGCTTGAATCTCATCTTGCTTGGGGAAGCATGGACTTCATCCTATTGATTGGCGACGGCTAGGTCAAGGTTTGGTTTGTGGTTCTCTGATAACTATCCTGCCTGTTCGACTCATCAGTCAAACTTCAATTTCGAACTGGCGCCATTTTTACGGCTATCTTTGGAAGACGAGAATAGCATAAAGAAATGTTTTATAATACCTTGCAGACAGTTTAGTCCGGGTCTTTTACTTAGGGTCTTGAGGATCGGACGTTGGGGCTGTGGTCTCCTAATCCCAGCTCGTTACGGTCTTCGTGAGTCTCATCCTGCAATAACCAAATCGCATTTCCTTATTTCTCCTCATCCATTTCAAGATGTCATTAGCGCCTCTGCCCAACAGCACGGAAATTGGCGTCGCTTTACTTTCCTGGTGATAGATACCAAATCACATTACTCCGTCTGCGTCTTTTGATCACAGTTTGTTCGATGGTGTAGCGGCTTCAATCCCCCGCTGTCAGTGCTGCAGCCAAACTTGAGGTGTCCAATTTGGTTAGCAAAGTAAACGTCAATTATGGAAAATACTTGCTGATGCTGTCCTCTGTGTAATTCTTTGGATGTCATTATTTCTTTATCTCTATTTTACTACCCTTGGATGGGAAGGCCTGTTCGGGAGGAGACGCCTAGTACCAGTTAATTTAAGAGAATTAAGGATATGATCAAGAGCCTTGTCCACTCCGCTTGTAAAATGAGGGGGCATTGCAACCGAATCAACTGAATCAATATTTTCTACTTCTCACCATTCTTTTATGGAGTTTTAGACGGTGAGGTCGCCCCGTCTTAGGGTAATTTGCTGTACCTGGTTTGCCAATTTACTCACCTTATTCCAATTGTTGATGTGTTGGCTTTCCTTTTCTGAGTTACTTTTGCGTTGTAGCGAATCCAGTGACTGATCCTGCTTTGGGTAGGGTAGCGTCATTGTGACTAAAAACCTGCGTTTCACTATTTGAATGTGGTGACTTGAGTATTCCTTGAGGATGCATAATGTACGCATTAAACATAAGTTAGGGCTTTGGGTTAATAGCGCGGCCTGTATGTCAGCCTGCCCCTTTGAGGATGTCAAAATGAGAGATACTTGAAAAAATAATGCATTGCATTAATTATTTGGCTGTTCCCTCGGTTAGGCTCTCGTGTCAACTAACGCAATCTAATTGGAGCACTAGTGAACCATTCGCCAACCAGCTTTCCCGGCTACCCAGTTTCTATGACCTAGTGGTACTTAATTGCTGTCTCCACCACCTTAGGGTTTCTGACAGTGCTTGAATTTTGCGACATGAAAATTCAAGTTTGAAAGAAAGATTGTGATCGCCGTCGGGTATAGTCGTTGAAACGCTTGCTTATGAGAAGGGTGGCTTTTTGTTTTCGTTCCCATATATTATTACCCACTTGGGACTTGCTTATCAATAATTCCTTGGGTTCCGTAGCTGGTAGAAAAACAATTTACACAAGACACCTGCTAAGAGGAATGGCTGATGACCGCATAACAAAAAGATTACCATATTTGGATGGCCATCGAAGATAAATGTCTTTTCATGATCGCTCGAGGGTCATTGCCGATTCTCCCCACGGGCTTTCCTTCTTAGGCCTAATTTGATTGCCGTGTCAAACTCAGCGAATGAGGGACTGGAGTTGCTGGTCCATTTTATGCAAACTGTTTATTCACTTGAATGCTGTTATTCAATCCAAGGAAATGTTGTTTTGGCAATGATAAGGTAAGTCTAGACCCTTGTTAGTACTGACTTGAGCTGAATTAGTGGGTTCGTATTCTCAAGATGTCCATGTGATCATCTGTGCAGTTAATTTTTACCTCTACTCATCGTATTTCAGTAGAAGATTGTGGTTATTAAGCGTAAGATGGTGGGGTCCACAAACTTATGATAGAATTTTTTCCGCCCTCAGTCTCTTCACCCTAGTATTATTTCACTTGCAATTGATACTAGTCAGGAGTTGGTTTATGAGTATGAAGCCGTTGGAGTGCCTTCACAGGCCACGCTAGGGCGTCGCTCTGTCGCTATTCTTGGCCCGCACACCTTTGCATGTGAGTGTGCAGTCACAAATCTCTTCGCTGGCCGCATTATGAGTTCCTTTGCAGGCACTAGCAAGGTTGGAATTCACATGAAAATGCTCTGCCACCCATAAACAACCCCTAAACACGATAGGCGCCAGCTGTGTTCTTGGCGCCACAGAAAATCATTATGTGGGGATGATAGTAAGGGGAAAAAGGGGTGGACAGCAGTGTTTTTGCAATAACAACTGTTCCATGGCACTGTGGTTACTTGTTCCCTTTTGGCGGTAGGTCTTTGCATGCCTGCCTCAGAAGTGGTTCACTGGCACGTTTTTGATTTTATGTAGTAAATGAACTTTGTAAGACCATTGCACCACGTGCATCTCTAATGCCCTTCGGCAAGACTGAGAGGAGGTTTTGGATTATAAAAATATAATACCGAAAAGGAAACAGCGCTACTTACCGTTAATCAAGTGTCAATACTTCTTACTGAGGTTTTAAAGAATTCCTCTTGAAGACATTTGAAGGTGTTCAATCGTAAATTGATACTTATTGCGGGTAGACGGAGGATTTGCCACCCGTTTGTACAGGTGGGATTAATGGATCCGCACGGTGTCGTAGTGCCCTCCTCCTCCTCCTCAAATGAATGCATCATAACTGGGATTATAACTTCTACTTATTTGATCCACTGAAAATAAGAAGCACATGGGGCGGTTTAGTGCCTACCTCTAAGAGTTTCTTCGTGTCTAGGGTCATTTTTTTCTTTTAATTTTCCGCCATTAATGTTCTTTGGGGACCAATAAATCCGGAGCAGCAACTGGACATGACTGTGAAATTAATTTGTTGGTTACTGCTTGGTCTGGACCACTTGCTGCGGTTGCTATGCCTTCCAACCCTCACTTCATTACTGGGTATGCGGTAGTCAACATAACATCTACCTTGGCTTAGGACACCAATTTTTCTCACCCAAAGGCTTTATTCGACTCCTTAAAGTTAATCTATTTCCATAAGTCCTTCCTTTGTAGCAACCTTTCTGTGCCATCTGCGACAGCTATTGTCGCGCTCATACTCATCTTTGGTCCTCTTATAAATGTGGTAGTAAAATGACCTTCAGGAAAGCGCTTTAGTATCGTCAAATGACAATAAAACAATGCATATAGAGGGTATTCGAATCCTTACAAATCTCCTGTAATGGTGGGTAAAACCAAGGTCAGAAGTTTCGGCTCCTTTAAATTTTTGTACTTATGCCTCCTCCGATATGGATCTATTTTTGGTCTTCTATACCTGATAGCATAGAGTGATTAAACTTTAGAGCTTTTTAATTGAATAAAGTTGTGAATCAAATCTGTTACTTATAAAATAAAGTTTGTGACAATCCAGATGGTACGAGTTCTTACAAAATCATTTGCTGTGGGTCGAGCTCACGTTAACAGCTGCACCATCTTTTCTGACCCTCTAAATATCCACAAAAAGGGAAGTATTTGAATTTGTAATTCAGATCATCTATTTGGTTATGCCTTACGATTCTTGGATAATGATTGGAAGCGCGCTTGCCTCGGTGTTCTCTTATTATGCAACAGGCTCCTTCTCATCCACTATAATCTTCATATCCCTACACCGAATAGAAGAGTCGGACGAGGATGAGTCTGACATCAGTGACACTCAAAAAAGTGGATGGAAAGAAGGCTTGTAATTACTGAACAACTCTCACCCAACTGTTCATAGAGTTTCGGCTCGAATTGCCCGCATGTTCAAAAAAAGCCAACTATGTATCATTCCGTAGATTGCATAGCTTGGTTGTTTCAAAGTTAGTTGTTCCACAGAGGTAAAAGGAGGGCTGACACGAGGGAAGACTATGCATTATTGAGAAACAGAAGAATTGAGAAGAAGGAGAGGAAAAGATTGCTATAGTTGGTCTGGAAGGCGTCATTTAGTGCAATTCCAAAAAAAGGAAGTTGTGCGCGTCATAAAAGCAATGAAGAAGGGTTAAACAAATAATCAAAGCACTACATCAGCAAAGGTAGGTAGAAAGGGGTTTGGGAAAGGAGGACGAACAAGTTACAGCTAATAACTTCGTTTTCCGCCTCTGTTTGTCCTATTAGAGGTGTCAGGAGAATATGCGAAAGAAACTCTTGATGTTTGTTTGAGTGCTCTCCAGTGCATTCACTCCAAGCGTCATAATCAAAATAAGGCTAATAATAGCGTCGAATTCATCATTTAACTGTGGCGAATCCAATGCTGGCGATAAATTCAAGGTTCGCGTGTACCTTGAAAGGAATTATTTTTTACATTATCTCGTCACTTCGTGCACACGTTATGATTTGTTCAAGCATTAGGAAATCATTTTTAGACGATTATAAATTCTCGGAAGCCCATCTTGGCTATGGATTTAAGACTACACAAGGGAAAGTGTTTCAATGCCTAAAAATCTAGCCCCTCGAATAACCCGTCAAGAACAAGTAAAGATATTAAAACCGCGAAGATGCTTGCTTGGATTGTTGAAATGCGTAATAGTTTGCTAGTCGGAGGTTGGAAACTGTACAATTAGTTTTGGTCCTCAAAGTGAAGAAAATCTCATTCTAACATGGATTTAGTTGAAATTTTCGAAGTCAGTGTACGACTGGGTGTTTTTCCTCAACATTCGTGTGGTCTATTTGCCAGTTTTCATCCCTCTCCTTTCGACGAAAGTGTGTTTCGTGGGAATGATGTTTTGACAAGTTTTTTTCCAAAATTAGAGTATTTCCTCCTACAGCTTAAAAATGCAACTTCTTAGATGTGAGCGGAAATAGCTTTGCTTGTGACTAGCAGGATCGGGAAACAGTAATTTGGCGAACTTATCACCAAGCTATGACTAAAATTATGGCCGGACAATATAAAAAGAAATGTGTGTGTAGCTTTAAGTGTTAAATCCTGTCAGCTATTATGAATTGCGTTTAAAACACTATCAACGTGAGCAGTACTTTGTGCAAAAATTCCTCTCCTTTCTCATCCTTATTACTTGTGATCCGCCTAGAATCCTTAAGTAATTCTCACAACTTTTAAATGGTTGTATGGAACGCAAATTGCATGTAAGTGTGAGTTCGAAGCTCTGATTTCCATCCTAAAAAAGCCGATATAATAACAGCAATGGACCTTAGGATCGGCCTTTAAGCAATCCTTAGTTTTAAAGTGTACTTGACACCAAGAAAAAAACTCCCTTCTCCATTTAATGAGGAGGTTTTGGGAAAGGTGGGCATAATCACGCCTTCATAGCTAAATGCAACGTCCATCTATTGATGGTATGCAGTGATGAAGTTGGTTGAATGGATGTCGCCATTGATTAGCTCCACCCACCGAGGGGAACTGAAGCCCTTGAAATTACCGCACTAGCAGCGGCAACAGCAGCTGCCAAAATCCGCCAATACAATGCACAAAAGAGGCCTTAATGATGGCGCCACAGACCGCCAAGGCGATTAACAACACCGTTCTGCTTGGCTAATGTAGGGAGGGGAGAGGAGTTTCAGGGAAGCATGGCATTCGGGTTGGTTGGGGCAGGAGCAGCTGCTTTCTTTGGCCGTCTATTTTCCCAAGATGTCACAAGCTTTGAAGGTGAAAATTTCAGCGTAAAGGAGCCGATTAAGCTCAATGTAGACTGACGAATTTGCCTTTGACGATCACTTTGAATGTGACTATCGAATGGAGCATAAAGACGGAATTTCATTTGGTATCAGTAATATAATCTCATTGTTTGATCTCATTTATTAATTAGGCTTGGTTTCAAAAGGCACTCAAAAGGGGTAAAGAAAATTTGCTTTAAACAACTCCCTGGAAAAATTACAAGAGTTGCAATGTGACAGATGGTCTCTTGCTAAAATTTGAGGATTCTATGGTGGGAGATCCTCTTCAATGCCAATCACCAACAAATGCGTCAGGCTTGCCTTAACCGCCCTGAATGACAAAGATACACACTTTTAAGAACACACTTTGAACGTTTGAATGTCATTTTCACTCCTGTGGCCTAATAAATCTTACCTATCCTCAAAAAAGATAGCATGCCTAGATGAAACGTAAAGCCGTTTTTTCGGTCTAACATGATAAATTGGCTTTGGTGCTAAAAAAATTGCAAGCACATAAGATGTTTTCGTGATAGTTTGAGCCACATTTCTAGCAGTACTAGTCAAACATCAAATAAAAGGGTTTTTAATGTTACCATCTGCAGCTCTGACGCTTTTTGTTTCTGTCCAAGGATGCATAACAAGAGAATATTGAGGCAAAAGAAAAGGTTGGATCGCCCACAGTAGGCGTCAAAACTAAGGGAGGACTAGAGTTCAGGAACTACTAGGAAGGTCTAGTCCTATCACAACATGATAAAAGTGACAAGCAGTCGTTTAAATGACTGTTTAAAAAGTAGTAGTGTGTACAATCGCTGGTACCTTCAACCGCTTCTAACTCTCGTACTTTCAGAAGTCAATTTAATCGGCTGCAACACCCGAAAAGTGCGAAATCCAAGGCCTAGGTTGATAAAGCTCCTCGTCAGATTTGGAGGGCAATTAGAGAGAATGCAGTAACGAAATGCACCTCCCAAATGTAGTTTAAATCTGATTTTGGTGATGAATCACTTTCACTAACCACACACTTAAGACATCAGTACATTATTAGAAGAGAATGCATGCTTTCGAAGCACTCGAGTGGAAAACCAACGCTTTGCTTGAAAATACTCGTTTAAATCCAACTAGCTTGCTAATAATCAAACGAATGGATTGGAGCAAACTCATGCGCGGATAACGAGAAGTACTGCCTTCTCGGTGACTGCCAAGATCCTTTTCTAATGAAACAGGGATCAACCTCATGCCTCAGTTCAGCTGGAAGGAAAGAAGTCATCGCCGTTTCCCGTTCCCATAACTTCTCAAGGAGCAGAGATTTGTCCGTTTGTGCCGTTGTCAGTCACATGAACAGATATTTAGAAATTAAGGGTTGAGAGTAAAAGGCTGTAGCAGAAAAAAGAGTATCAATTGTAAGTGACGAGTGTGAGCAAAAGGCGATTAGTTGTAGGTGGAATGTTTAAGGCCTTCCATGATTACGTCTGCAGAGCGGAGAGGTATAGATTAAATCATCGTCCTGCTTTTTAATTCATTCGCCACATCCATCGAATGATTTTATCAATTTTATAAGTCTCTATTGGAAGAAATCCACCGGTTTCTGGAGGCTTTGCAAGGACAAACAAATGACCGAACTTTTTACTGACTGGTGGTTGGAAAAGATGGATGAGTGCATTAAAATTAGGGATTATGCCACATAAAGTCCATCTCATCATCCGTGTCATCATGTGGCAGGAGAATCGAAAAGTTGTTCCATTACGAATGTGCCAAGAGGATGGAAGATGTGATGAGAGCAGCGTGCTACCCCTAGAACTCCCTTTAAGAGGATCCAAAATCGTACTCGTGATTGCAGACGTAAACCAGAAATTGCTCTGCTATGGCTCACTAGTTTGTGACTTTTAGAGTTAAATGCGAGCAGATCTTGTAACATAGATGTAATTAATCAGTGCATAAAATTTCGCTCCAACCACCTCTGATAGAGGCACGCCTCCGCAGTACTTATACCCTCACCTTAGTTTGAATTACTATTCGGACACCAATCATAAGGCCACAAATATAGAAACGCATAAACCTTCGGAGACCAAATTCGGTTCGAATCCAAAAAAAAAATATTCATAAGTCAGGAGAAGAATTATTGGAAGCCATTCCTAGACCGGGTTGTCGGCTTGACACAACGAAGAGAAATTTTCAACTTCTGAAATCAGATGTTTTGATTTGTGGTAATCAACAAATACTCTTAATATATATGGTGTTGAATCTAATGCCAGTCAAATTCCGGTTTCATTGGAACCATAACTTCTTGTTAACTCCGCCGATAGCCGACCAATAGAAACTATCGCCCAATTGGCACAGACAAAGTGTCCGACCAGTAGGAGCTAAACTCGCATGACCCCGCCTGTAGGCGCATGTGCACGGCGTTCCCACATAAACTGCAATTTCTCCTGTGGTGATGATACGTTTATTACTACCCGCTTCACTATTCTTTGCGCTAATTACTTCCGCTGGAGTATTATCAGCTCCCCAACAGGATTCTGGTTCCAACCTTGGAACTGCCTCAGACTCATTTAGCCTTCTGGCTGTCAATCCCCTTTTGCCACCTGCCAGATTGAAAGTGTATAGAGGGCAATGGACACCTCTTCTACGGCAGCATCTTCCAATTACCAAAAGAGTCCTCCGAGGTGGGCGCCACGTTTGTCGTATTGAAGTGGAGGAATTAGCGCCCATCTTCTCCGTGGTTGGACATCTTGAACCCAAGGTAGACAAGACACTTCGATTCCTTCTTCGGCAAAATCACTTGTATGCCGTATTTAATGATTAGTCTTAGCGCGATGTAAGTCAAATTTGTTGCGATTAATGGCTTGGCCAGTCTATAATTCGGCGTACTTCAATAAAGGAAAACGGGCACATCAGCTCTTACAATTTTACTATCTATGTCTAAAACAGTTGCTGGAGGCCTTTGAAAGCAATCTTTTCCACATTTAAATATTTGCAAGGTATTTAAGATTTACATGCCCTTTTATTGAATACACGTTTTTAGCTTGGTTAAATGAGGCGTCGTACTCCGTCGTAAGCTGAATTGGCAAGCACCATGTTTAAGCGACTCTATACAAGGTTTTAGAAGCAATTTGACCTAACAATGCTCAGATCACGGGGATGTTTACAACCACGAGTCATCACGTCCATTCCTAGAGGTTCCTTCAAGTGTCTATTCCGTGTTTTTTGTGGGTACTAGTGCCTGCGGAATATATGCGGAAGTGGGGGGGGGGGGGGGAGAAGGAAGAAAAAGATACAATTTGTCCCATCTACTTTAACTTTTGAAAAGAGCTTTTTTTAGGTTGTAGTGCATTTTACAGTTATTACGCCTTGTAACCTTTTCCACTGCAACCGCTGAGTCATGTATGAAGTGCTGCAAACCAATTTTAGCCAAGATAATCTATTAGGGATCATGTAGGAAACATTTGAACGGGAGAGTTAAGGGTAAAAATATTTGTAGGCAGATGGGAAAACATTTAGGACTTAGAATGTAATAATTTCTCAAAAGCGGCATTTATTTGCCAGTACAAAACCTCCTCGGTGTGATGCATTTTAGTTGCACGAGACCAATGTGGAGCCACTATCGAGCCTCAGAACTGTGCACAACGATTTTGTTTCTGCACAAAATGGCTGCATATGGCTCTTTTTGGCACTGAAACGGCAAGAAAAGTTTATTGTCAAGACAAGCAAGCTGCTGTCTTGACAAGTAAGAGGAGTCAAACATCGCCGATTTCTTTTGTCAGTTGAGAATCTAATCTTACATCGCCTATACAATGGAAGATGTTGGAGCACCTTCTTAAATCCAAATACCTAGATCCCGCCTCGAGACTGTAGTAGACTCGTTAGCCTCACTGATCTGTTCATTTGTTCGCCATTTTTCCAGCTTGGTCAATTTCCTCTCTTTGTCAAACACTTGTAAGCAACACATTCAAAGCACGATCCAATATTGCTGTTGGCTTTTCATTTATGTTGCAACACTCTTACAGTTTAATGGACCAGGCCTCTTATTGCCACCTGCAAAAGGAAATATTTGAGTTCAAAGATACCCGACTCCAAAAGTTTGCATTTCATGAGACTAAAATAAAGACGATTGTTTACGGCAACAGCCTTTGACATTTCAACTGCAGTCTTCCATGGATGGTGTTCTGAAAATAAACAGTGTTAGTAAATTTGTCGGTTGCCAATTCTTGCTGCATTCATTCTAAATACGTTGTCCAAAGGTCAGAGAAATCACCAAGTTAAGGCTTTTGATGTCATCTCAAAAGAGATTACCAAAGTCTCTGCTGTTTTTTCTCTTCACTTGGCTTAACCCATTTGTTCGTGCCCCAAAAATTTCCCATTGAAAATGTGAAAGACGTGTTTCCTGACTAAAGTAGTTGATAGGGTGTCCAGTAATTGCACACATGCCACATCAGTAATCTCTCCTCCAGAAATGCGTTCACAGACGAGAAAGCTTGCATGGTGTTCGCCAAATGTCCATCATTTATGATTCCACCCAGTCCTACCTACGTATGAGGCGTTGGCCAACATTGCTTCCATAAGAGTTAATCATTACTTCCTCTTCACACCTTATTTTCTTACTAAAAAGGAATTGTTTCAAAATAACAGACGAGGGTGCCAGGTGCACTCAGTTCCATACTGATGAGAAGGCAAAAATCTACCAGATCGACGGGTGCGTTTATTTTTCAAAAGGGAGGTAATCTCCTTGTCACCGCTTTTCCAGCCGAATAATTTGTTTCTGGCCGAATAAAGAAGCACAACATGCAACCCAAAGAGTTGCTGTAGGATGGTTGGAGAAGATTTATTTGGCATCTTGTAAAAAAAGGGAAAAGGATGGTTTTGATGAGGTGATTAGCTGATGTCACTTTGTGGATGCCTCGTCGCACTCCTCACGAACGGGATTCGTGCCTCTCCCCTTCAAAGGCAACTCAAACACAGTAGTGCATTTTACAGATTCTGATCTCTCTTCGCATGTTTTGTGATGTCACTCGAAGGAGCAAACTATTCCAAGGTCTCTACAAAAATCAAGTATCTGAGAAAATATGGCAAAAAGTGCAAAATCTTGAGAGTGGGTTGAGTTTAATAAAGGCGTTTGTATCCTCAGTCTGTTTTCCACACGGCTTTTACTCCCTCAGAAATTCGACTGTGCCTTCAGAGATGGAGAGGTGAGGTACTACCATGAAGGCAACCCATTGCTCACTTCGGACACAGTTCGCGTAACAATTTTCTTCTTTCGCAATAACCACTCCATCATCCAGACCGCAGACATCCCCGTGGATGTCATGGACTTGCCCAAAACAGGAAACGAGATCGACCAAACCTTTCGTCGACCTAGAATTCACGGTCCCCTTGAGCTCAACGTAAAGGGCATTAAGGCTTCCAGTCAAGCTATAGGGACGTCGGTGATAGAAATCGAGTAAGCATTATCAAAGTAATTCAAAAATCTGCTGTAAATGATGCAAAACGCATGTGTTAAACCCTAAAATATTGCAGGTTGTAGGTTGTAAGAGGCGATGACACTTTTCATTGCACTTGCAAATATTTAAGCTCGCCTAGACATTTGCGAGAAACAGTTTTAAATCTACTAACTCTTTTCAATAATTAGCCTAAAAGGTTAACGAACTCACAAAAGAGTTTGATGCCTTAATCCCCTTTTAGGATAGGCGGCTTATCTATATCAAGTTAGCTACTCTGACATAAGATTCGAAAAAAATGTTTGT